TGTGTCTGGGTTCAAGCATAATCTGCTCAACATAAGTCAGCTTTGTGATTTTGGTTACAATGTCGACTTCCAAAAGAAGTTTGGTTCATTGTTATCAGAAGCTGGTCAAGAGATGCTTAGAGCTGATCGCGAAGGTAATCTATATCTTATGAACTTCACACCCGGAGATGGTACAGAGACAATCTGTTTCATATCTCAAAAAAGTGAAGAAGTCTAACTTTAGCATCACAAGTTGTCTCATATCAAATTTTCAAATCTTGAGAAGCTTGTTAAAAGTGATTTGGTTGGCGGACTACCAAAAGTGAAGTTCGAGAAAGATCATCTTTGTCCTGCATGTGAGATGGGGAAACTCAAACAAGCCTATCACAAGGCAAAGACTGATGTTTCATGCATCAAACCTCTGCATATGTTTCATGTGGACCTCTATGGTCCTACCTTTGTGCAAAGCATGTCTGGCAAGAAATATCTCCTTGTATTAATTGATGAATACTCACGTTATACTTGGATTGAGTTTGTAAGGAAGAAATCAGATGTGATAGAGGTGTTGATTAAGCTGATGACAAAGATTCAGGTCCTCGTACAAAGCAAAATTCAAAGTTGAGAACCGACAATGGTACATAGTTTAAGAATTCAAAAATTGACAAGTACCTTGCCAAAGAGTGAATTTCCTGAAACTTCCCAGCTGCAAGAACCCCACAACAAAACGGAATTGTGAAAAGGAGGAACAAAACTCTAATTGAAGCTGCAAGAACAATGCTCATTGTCTCTGGTCTTCCAACCATTTTTGGGCAGAAGCAGTCTTGACCGCGTGCTTTACACATAATAGATCTATTGTGGTCAAAAGACATCTGACGACACCTTATGAACATATCAACAAATAAAGCCTAACATTAAACAGGTGCTTCATCCTAAATGATCGTGAGCAACTTGGTAAATTTGACAAGAAGGCTGATGAATGCAAATTCCTTAGATAATTTGTTCATTCCAAAACTTAAAGAGCCTTCAACCTTAGAACCAAGACGGTCATGGAAAACATCAACATCTCGTTCGATGATAAAGAACAAATGACTTCAAAGTACTCCAGCTCTGAACTCAAGCATAACCATGTAACTTCCAATTCTCTCTCGAAGTCAAGGGAGTTGGAACTCGAGGAACTTTTTCAAGACTTCTTTGGTGATGAAGACATTTTTTGGTGTGCAACCAGAGATGCCTCTGCACGCATTTATGAAGAGCCACAAGCATCAAGTACATCTATCTCTGGCCCTTCTAACGCCTCTACTCCTTCTTGTGATCTTGCAGAACCAGAACTAGAGCCTAGCAGCTCTACATCAGAGCCCAGTGCTTTAGGGCCAAAGAATACCATCTCTATATCTGAACCTGGTCCCTCTATAGCACAATTCAGGGGGGGAGCACGCAAAGCCATCATCACCAACAAGAGAATTAATGCAAAACATCCTTATTTTTCGCACTCCACCCACACCACATTCTCCTATGACGCAATGGACGAAAGACTAACCGTCACACCAAATTATCGATAAACTTCCCAAAGGCGTAAAGACCAGAGCTGCCACTACAAACAAATGTTTATTCATAAACTTTCATAGCATGGTAGAGCCAAAGAAGATCCAGGAATTACTCCAAGACCCATGTTGGGTCGATGCCATGCAAGATGGGCTTCTCCAATTCGAAAGAAATAAGGTATGGACTCTTGTTCCATTACCTAAAGATAAACTTGCTATTGGTACTAAGTGGGTCTTCAGGAACAAGAAGGATGAGGATGGCATTGTTATAAGGAACAAAGTCAGGTTAGTTGCCAAAGGTTACTGCTAAGAAGAAGACATAGACTATGATGAGACCTTTGCGCCACTAGCAAAGCTAGAAGCAATTCGCTTGTTTTTGGCCTTCTCAGCATATAAAGGATTCCAAGTCTATCAAATGGACGTTAAGTCAGCCTTTCTGAATGGTAAGCTTAGGGAGGAAGTCTACGTGTAGCAACCACCTGGGCTCAAGAGCTCTACACGTCCAGAGTATGTCTACTACCTAGACAAAGCTCTGTATGGCCTCAAACAGGCACCCAGAGACTAGTACGAACAACTCTCGACCTTTTTAATCTCTAATGGTTTCAAGAAGAGGTAATATTGACACAAGCTTATTCATCAAGAGGTATAAAGGTGAGATGCTACTAGTGCAAATCTATGTGGATGATACCATATTTGGTTCAATGAACTAGAGCTACTGTGACAAGTTATCTCAATTGATGAAGAGTAAGTTTGAAATGAGCATGATGGAAGAATTAACCTTCTTCCTCGATCTCCAAGTAAAACAAACAGAAGAGGGTATTTTTATAAATCAAGCAAATATGTCTCTCACATCTTGAAGAAATAACAACTTCATAACTCAACAACAATAAGAACGCCAATTTCCACGGGTACCAAGCTTGATACAGATCCATCTAGAAAACCGATGGATGTCAAGACTTATCATGGAATGATTGGGCCACTTTTATATCTCACAGCTAGTAGACCAGACATTACGTTTGCTACATGCTTATGTGCTAGATTTCAAGCTAATCCTACAGAATCTCACCTATCTGTAGTGAAAAGAATCTTTAGATACCTTAAAACGGACTCAATTTTTTGGGCCATTGGTATCCTAAGCATTCTGAATTTGATCTTATTGCATATACAGACTCTAACCATGCAGGGTGTAAGCTCGATAGGAAGAGCACATCGGGAAGCTGTCAACTACTTGGCAACAAGTTGGTGAGTTGGACATCCAGAAAGCAGAACTGCATGTCAACATCCACTGTAGAAGCATAATACGTTTCCACTGCAAGCTGTTGTTCCCAAGTTATATGGATGAAGATTCAACTCAAAGACTATGGTATTGCGTTCGATAAGATTCCCATTATGTATGACTTAGAGAGTGCAATCGCCATCACTACAAACCCTGCAATATTCTAAGACCAAGCACATTGATGTTCGTTATCACTTCATCGAGGACCATGTAGAGAAAGGTACAATTGATATGTTCTTTGTTTCCACAGATTTCCAACTTGCTGACATCTTTACAAAAGTTCTTGATGAAAAGAGATTCAATTTTTTAATCAACAAGTTGATTATGCTCAATATATATGCATTGATAAGTCAGAGCTTCTGTATGTATAATACAAAGCTTCTGCATTCAAGATTAGCATACATTTGTTTTATTTTAAGTCCATCATACAGAGCCTCTACATGTCCTATACAGAGCCTCTGAGTCCATATTTTGTCAATCTTTAAGTTTTGTCATACAGAGCCTTTGTATTTACTATATAGAGCCTCTGTACCTTGAACTATTACTCGAGAGCATATCTTATCGTTCTTGATCCAAGCATAGTTTAAGGTAGAGGAAAGCAGAACGCATCATTCAAGAGGGAGAGCTGGAAATCCAAGACCCAGAGCCTCTTCATCATCAAGTTTGTTCGTGATGCTTAGAATTTGTGTAGTCCAACCACGAGTCTCTGGATCGCTCGAAAGGTATGTTATCTATCTTTATCTCAAACGTTTTTTGTGCTAATCAAACCTACTCTGGTTTCAAAACTTTTTTGATTCAAGAGTTTAACTTTATTGCAAGGACCAGAGCCTATGTATAGCACATACAGAGCCTCTACATGCACTATAAAGAGCCTCCGTACCTAGGATTTAGTCATTCTGTATCATTCTAAACCAGAGTGTAAGATTTTCAAACTCTTGCTGATACTAAGTGTTATGTTTGATCAAGAGTATTCATTTGTATATCTAGAGTCCTTGTCTGTACAAGTAATCCTACGATTGACAAACACTTATGTATTTTTTTCTCAAAATAAAATTGGAATGCAGGTTATTTTGGAAGGTGATAGTCCTGTGATGCTAATTTTTTAAATATAGAAGGCGCGACTAGCGTCTTAAAACCTGCAACTATCAGGCCACACGTCATTTCCCTACAGGATCTGCAAAAACCCTTTCAATAACTGACGTTTGGGTTAAGCGCTCAAGTGCATCAATCATTTCCTATTTAGAGGATTAAAATTTCCCCATTCCATCTTTACGCTTACAAAATTCTCTAAAAGAACTTGTGCTCTCCAGAACTTTTGCTCTCAAGAACTTCATCGTCCCTAATAAGAAACCTAGATTTTCATTCTAAATCTTTTCTACTTCATATTTTTCTATTTGGACAATGTCGACCCCTACCCATTCAGAATCTGATAACTCTCATAACGAGACCAACACACTTGAATCGAACGAAGGAACTAATCTGCATTTGATTCCACTTCCCCTCAAACCAAGCAATCACACCATTAACCTAACCCTGCCCAACTACGATGAGAAATTTCATCCTGTTGTTTACATTCTCCATCATCACTTCTTGAACCCAGCCCTAACCAATGTTGAAGAAGGGGCTCCTGAACGTTTTCTCCAACCTAAAACAATATTGCCAAATTTGCGTCTCTAGGTAACTCTTTTCACTTGTTCTTCAAATACTAACAAAAATTGATCTAGGACTTCCCCAATACGCTACTGTACCAACCAGTGATGAAATCTTTATATTTATGAGGTTTATTGGCTACAACAAACCAATAAACTTTCTTTCACAGTTGAAACATCAAATTTTACCCCTAATGTGGAATGTGCTATTCACATTGGCCAATAGCACTCTCAGGGGAAAGATTGGGAGCATGGACATGTGCAGCACCAACATGCTCCAACTCATCTATGGAATTTACTTTGATATGCTCTAGGACTATTCCCTCACCCTCTACACAGAATACAGGCCAATCGTTACCAAGAAGAACCTTGAAAAATCCAAGGGAAAGGACTTGCTAACGTTGTTGTTCCCAAGGTGTTTAAGCTGGGACTCAACAAGCAAGAAATCTCTTGTGATAAGTGTTATCTACGTACTTCCCTACAACTCACAAAGATGGGTACCCAGATGAGAGGCCCTTGTCCAAGAAGCTGATGGCCTACATTAAGACGAAGACTATGAGGAGGGCATATAGACATGTGCTCGAGACACTTGAACCTGTGACTCAAACCCCCACACGCATAAGCGAATCCGAAGAGGAAGATGACCCAGAAGAAGATGGTGAGAAGGCGGAGAGGGAGAGAAAAACAAGGGAGGACAGAGAGAGAAAAACAAGGGAGGACAGAGAGAGAGAGTTGAAAAAGAGAAGAGGGAGAAGGCGGAGGGAAAAAGAGAGCAGGCATAGAAGAAGAGGAAGAGAGAGGAAAAGAAAAAAAGCAAGAATTAAGAGAAGGCAGAGAGAGCTGAGGGAGAGATTAGAACGAGAAAAGAGGGAACTGGCTCTACAACAAGAGCCAGAGGAAGAAAGTGAAGAAGAAGAAGAGGATGAAGAGGCTGAGGGAGAGGGGGAGCAAGAGCCTGAGAGAGTGGTGCCTAAGCACATTTATTTACACACACCCACCCCCAGTGCAAGCAAAACTTCTAGCCCAGTTGGTCGAGCAACAGGGGCTATTGAACAAGAGGTGCACACCTTGAAGGCTTGAACCCAAACTTGCCTACCCAGCCAGAGGTCGCATCTGCCTCTGCACAGCCGAAGGGAAGCCACGCCATAGGGCTCATCCTCTCAAAAGGGTGAGACTTTTGAAAAGATAAGTGGTATGTCTCCCCACACCACGACACTTGCCTATACATAGGAATGTGTTTCCTCTGCACAAGTAGGTATACCCCAAGCTTGTTCAGAGCAAGCCCTAGGTGTACATTGCTCTAAGGCTCTCGACGGGCCTCTTAGTCCTATCCGACTCTGAATTGGATGTTAGAGCTCATCATGATAGAATGTTTGTAGTATTCTCTTCTGATGAAGAGGTACGAGGATCAGACGAAAATCCTTTCAGACTCGACGTACAAACAGGTCTGAACGAAGGTATCCTTGGAACAAGGATTCACTCTGGCCCATGTGTTAAGCCAGAGGTTACCACTACTGATTATGTCACAAAGGCAGATTTACATGCCTTTGAGAACTCTATTTAATGTTCCTTAGAAGAGTTAAAACTCATAATGACCCATGCAGAGTCATCAACATCTGCATCTGCTTTGGATGATATTCAAGCATCCATTGCAGCTCTAAAATTTGAGTCATTGACAAATGATAAACTACTTGAAGATCACTTGGAATTGACGATGAACACGAATGCTACCCTGAAAAGGGTGGTGGATTACATACAGAGGGAGGAGTCCAAGGCTAACATCACACATGTCTCTGTGGACCAATTTCAAAGGTTCATAGAAGACATGGTTAAGCTTAATGGGCAAGCCTTGATTCCTATTGGCGCTCCAACTAACTACATCACGAGGACCGAGATGGTGTCTCTCGATGACAAGTTGTTGCATAAGGTCTCTGCATTCACTTCAGACTTAAATCCACAACAAAGACAGCAGCTACAAAGATGCGTAAATCTCTAGCTACGTTCAAGTTCAGAGCGGACTGGAGATAAACAAAGAAACTCAAGCAGCTGAAGACATAATTGAGTTGTTTGATAAAAAAATGAAACAGATGCCACCTACAGAACTTAAGAAGAAGAGAAAAAGGAAGTTGAGGAAGGTCGGATCTGCATGCATAGAAAGCTCCAAGAGACAGAGAAGGTTTGATGATCAAGAGGACCTAGATAACTCTGGCCCTCAAGACCATCAAAAAGAGGAGATCTATTATCGTCATGCTACTCCACCTGCCACCGTCTCCTTTGCACCCGCTCCATATTCACATCCAGAGTCTGCCACTTCACAAAGACCACAAGACCAAGATCAACCAGAAGGCAATTCTGCCTCTGCATCTGTCTTTGGTGAAGACATGGGTGCATCCACCTCCCCTCCAAAGATGATCGCATATGCTCCATCCTCTACATCAACTTCATCCTTGTCTACAGAGCCCTTCATGGACGAAGCCAGAGAACAAAGAGATAAAGGCAAAGAGGTGGTGGTGAATGTTCTTGAAAGCTCAGAGTCCAAGGATGAAACTTCCTTTGCCAAACCAATTAATCCTTCGACACACTTCTATGTTTCAAGCTCAGCCACCTCTGCATCTGCATCCATCTCTGCTTCAACATCAACTCCAGCTCCAGAGCAAATCCAACCTCTACACCAAGCTTCAATCAAAACTTCAACTTCAACTCAGATCAATCCAAGTCATCTAGAATCCAGCAGGAGACCCCCAAGATTTAACCCAGTTCAAGATAGAGTACAAGAGATCATAGATCAAATAGACACAACGACTAGGCCTCTGCCAAAGAAAAAGTGCTAGAAGATCTTGTCTCTAACTAGAAGATCTATCAATTCCTGTACAGGAAATGGGAAGAGGTACCTCACATGAAGATAACTCTGCATCCCATGGTCTAAGAGAATATCTGACGGAGGTTTCTCTGATAATGCACCCTGCCCTCATGTGAAGTTTACTTCTGCGATGGGATAACACAGGTACTGGACATCAAGAAGATAACTTTTGCACAAAACCAGATCATCTTCCATGAGTACATGGTGGAAAGATCACAGGGCCAGATAAGTGTGTTCACCGATTGTGACCTTGTAAATCTGAACCATTGGGATCTTCTTAATCTGTACTTCTATACAGACCACAAGAGGGATAAGGGGATCAAGTATGTTGTGGCCAACTATGCAATCAGACAGATGATAATAGATTTGTTGGAATACAAAAGCAAGGTGGACTTCCAGATTGCTCTCGAGATGGGTGTGGACCACTTGTCTGTCACTGCGCCTAATGAAGAACTTGAAGGCATTCAGTACATTCCATTATGGATTATCAAAGTCGAGCCATAACTGGGCGTCATCTTTAGATACAAGGACAAAGAGAAGATCTTCTTAAGAGCATGTGAAAAGTACAAGTTCTCAGATACAACACTGGTCTGGATAAGAAACAAGGTGATCCAGAAGGGAGATGAAGACCTCACATCCAGAGAAGGAGCCTCAGATCTAATTTGAACAATTGATAGCCTGTTGGAATTTCGTGCACTACTTAGAAGGTTCATGAAGTTGCAAAATTGTTAGAGCTCTTTATCCTTCGTTTTTATGTAATGTGATTTATCACTTTCAATTTCAATAAATGTCATATACAGAGGACCATGTTGGCCTCTTGCTTTCTAGACTAGTTTTTTATTGAAGGAAGTCTTTATATTACAGTTAGGAGGAGATTATTAGAATGTTTTTGAAGTGTAAGTAAAAAGATTCTTGCTCAAGTTAAGAGGACTTGGACTGAAAGCAGCCTAGAACCAAGAGCTCGGATACAGAGCTCAGACACAGAGGAAATGAAGACCGAAGACAACCCAAAAAGCTAAGTACTCGGGTACAGAGCCCGAGTCCCAGACACAGAGCCTCTAGGTCTCATACCTCGCCCGTCTTCATGAAGGTTCCACGACCTGTCTCTACATCACAAGTGGTCCAGTCTCAGTCCAACACATATGCAGAAATGGTTACAGCAATCAAGACACGTGTAGGCAGCAAACTGGAGGACGCATTGACTATTCCAAATATGCCAAATTTGTAAGATGTCTTTTCTGGAAACGCATATAAAAGGGTAATTCCTCTAAGAATATCATTACCAATCCTTACAAATAGAAGACGTGTTCCTACCTTATTAAAGAGAGAAAATATTACACTTGTGAGAGATTAGCTAGTTGAGAGAAATTATGTACACGTACTATTGTGTGTTCTTGGTGTTCTTGTGTAATCTCAATAGCTATTGATATACAGCCGACTTGACTATTCCCTAAAGAGTACTGTGTCTTTATCATTTCTGCTTAACCATTCTAGTATCATTGTTATTGCTTCCGCTCTTGTTGACTCAAGCTTTGATTACTACCGCATTTGGGTTTTGGGGTTCCTACAGGTTGTGTTGGTCTCAACCATCGGATTTGGTAATAATACTTGAAACATCCGATCACACACTTAGAAATGAATATTCTTATTTACTTTGTTTCACAAGGTATATATCCTATGAATTTCTAAGAACATTGAAATTCTGTGCGACAGTCAAAGTAAGAGAGAATAAATCATTCCTCTATAGTTGGTTTACGTCTACTGATTTGCCATTGGAAGTAGAGTGTAACTTTAATGGAGGAGCCATTGGAGTTTTCATAGGAGAGCATTGATTAAATAAGGTTAGTTCTCTCATCATACTCATTTCATATTTGCTTTCCATAAAATTGGCAAAATTCCACAAAGAGAAACATCAGTTGCACCAAATATTATATCATCTAGATATATATTGATATGAATGACATTATAATCAATCTTTTTGAGAAAGATAGTGTTGTCAATCTAATCATTGTTGAACTAATTATCTAGAAAAAAAGTGAATAGAATATCATACCATGCCCGAGGAGCTTGTTTGAGTCTATAAAGTGCTTTGTTAAGCTTGTATATGCTTTGGATGAATTGGTTATTCAAATCTTGGACGTTGTTCCACATATACTTCTTCTATCAACCTTCTATTGAGAAAAGCACTCTTAACATCCATTTAGAAGACTTTACAACTTCTGAAAGCAGCATATGCCAGAAAAATTCTAATGGGTTCAAGTCCTACAACATGAGTAAAGGTTTCGTCATAATCTATTTCTTCTTCTTGACAATACCCTTGAGCCACCAGTCTTGCTTTATTTATGATAATCGTACCATCTTCATCCATTTTATTATGAAGATCCATTTTATGCCAATGAAAGATTTGTGGGTAGGAGAAAGAACAAGTTTCCACACATTGTTTTATTCAAATTGAAGAAACTCTTCTTGCATTGCACTAACCCAACATGGATCTTCAATGGCTTCTTCGATCCTTTTTGGTTTAGAATGATATAGAAAGTTAACATATACCATATTTGTTGATCTTCTTGTTTTTACTCCAACATGATGGTTTCCTATAATTTGCTCAATAGGATGACTCTTTGTCCATTTGCTAGCAGAGGAAAGGGTTTTCTGTCAATTTTTTTGAAAATATTTTGCTGGATAAGTTCCCATACGAGGATGAAAGTTGCTAGAATTAGTGAGCAAACTTTCTAGACAAGTTTGCACTCCAATTTTGGCTTGCTAGAAGTAGTATTTGTCATACTACTATTTGACTTTACCTTGTATTCATCTTTTTTGGCTAGATGACAATCCAATCCTCTTTGTTGATGATATTGACCTCACTTCAATAGTTTTCGATTTTTTACAAATAGTTACAAGACTTTTTACAAATAAAAATCATATCCATCTATTCTTAAATATAAGTTATAGATCGGATTTCAGCTTAGATTATTTATGAAGTAGAGACATCGGGTGTTTCATGTATACTTAGAATATTTGAGGTTACATAAGAAGCAAAGCTGAATGGCCATGGAATGTCAATCAAATTCTTCAATCGGATGAAGGATTAGCAAATCTGAGATTTGATCCCAACATATTATCTAAGATACAAATCTGAAAGTCACTGAACTCTGAAACCTTGAGTGAATAAATTATTTTGTAATGTTAGGTTCGTATGCCAGTACTATTTACTAGATCT